GTTTTTGATGAAAATGAATAAGCAATTCAATAGAAGAAAGATAGCCCTTTAAACAAGTGGTACTGGAGCAACTGGACATCCATGGACTTCTCATACACACACACACACACACACACACACACATATATATGTATATATGACATATATTGACATATATATATGTAAAATATATACATAATCTAGATCTCAAATCTATATAAAAATTAATCACAAACTTAGATGCAAAACATAAAATTATAAAACTTTCAGGGAAAAAACTGGAGAAAATCTTTGGGATATAGGGCTAGGTGAAGAGTTCTTAGACTTGTCACCAAACACATAATCTATAAAAGAAAAAAACGATGAACTTGGCACCTGGCTGGCTCAGTTGGTAGAGAACGTGACTCTTGATCTCAGGGTTGTAAATTCAAGCCCCACATTGGGTGTAGAGATTACTTAAAAATAAGATCTTAAAAAAAAAGAAAAAATTGATGAACTGGAATTGCACAAAATTGTTCTGTGAAAGACTTTACTAAGAGGAAGGAAAGAGAAACTTACAGACTGAGCGAGAATATTTGCAAAGCACATATCTCACAAAGGACTAGAATTTAGAATATATAATAAACCCTCAAAATGCACAGTAAAAAACCCCACACATTCCCCAGTTAGAAAAATCCAATTAGAAATATGTGAATAGTTATTTCATAAAAGAGGATATACAGATGTGAAGTAAGCAAATGAAAAGATGCTTAACATCATTAGCCCTTAGGGAAATGCTAATTAAATCCTCAATGGGATATCACTACATATGTATCAAAATGACAAAAATAAAAAATACTGACAATGCCAAATGCTGACATGAATGCACAGCAACTCTATGACTCATACACTGCAGTTGGGATGTAAATTGGTATAGCTACTCTGGAAAATAGAAATTACTTAAAAATCTAAACATGTCATTACCATACTATACAACTATTGCCCTCCTGGGCATTTATTTTAAAGAAATGAAAACTAATGTTGACAGAAAAAGCCTGTACACATGGATATTTATAGCTGCCTAGTCGTAATAGTAAAAAACTAGAAACAACACAGATGTCCTTCAATGGATGTGTGTTTAGACAAACTGCGGCACATCCACACTCTGAAAAATTATTCAGTAATAAAAAGGAATAAACTATTGATACAAACAACAACATGGCAAATCTCCAGGGAATCATGCTAAGTAAAAGAGACAGAGGATATATAGTGTACAATTGTGTTAATAAAGTACTCTTTGAAATCACAAAATTATAGAAAGGAGGGCAGATTAGGGGTTGTCAAGGTGTCAGATGAGGAGTGACTATGAGGGTAAAGTGGGTATAGTGATAGAAGGGCAGCATGAGAGGCTTTGTGGGGATGGAAATATTCTGTATCTTGACTGCAGTACCAATACCAGTATCCTGGTTGTGGCATTGTGCTATAGTTTCACAAGATGTTACCATTGCGGAAAAGAAGGTAACAAGTCCATAGGAATTCTTTGTATTATTTTTACACAAGTAAGATTCTTTTTTTTAAGATTAATTGATTGAATGACTGATTGATTTTGGAGAGAAGGAGAGTCCCAGGAGGGGTGGAGGGGCAGAAGAAGAGGGAGAGAGAATCTCAAACAGACTCCCCACTGAGCACGGAACCCCATGCAGGGCTCCATCTCAAGACCCTGAGATCATGACCTGAGCCAAAAACAAGAGTCCCACACTCAACCAACTTAGCCACCCAGGAGCCCCACACAAGTAAGATTCTTATTAAAGAAAAGGGTAAAGTTGCAAATCACTTAGGGGGCCAAATATGTTACAAGGTGCACTGAGTACTGCTTTCCTCACAGGAAAATAGGCTTAAGGACTTGCATTTCATTCTTTTTCAATAGATTATTTGAAATTATTTGACAATTGTATATTGAGCCTCTATTATGTACCAGGAACTACAGAATGTGACCTAATAGAATATGACCATAAGGTATAATATTACAACTAGTATAGAATAAAGAAGTTTGAGTTTGCTAGAATTCAAAGTCTCTGACTACACTACCATCATTTTTTTAAATTTCTGATTTTCTGATGGAGTTTATTTCATTACCACATTTTTTGCTATTCATCTACACATACAAATTTTTTTCTTTCAAAATTAATAATTTACAAGGCTTCCCATGAGTCCCCATGCGTTAAAAGTTCTATTTGTACCAAGACGAAAGTACAGGCTGGGGTGCCTGGGTGGCTCAGATGGTTAAGCGTCTGTCTTTGGCTCAGGTCATGATCCCAGGGTCCTGGGATCGAGCCCCACATCAGGCTCCTGGCTCAGCAGGGAGCCTGCTTCTCCCTCTCCCTCTCCCTCTCTCCCTGCTCATGCTCTCTCTCTCCCTCTCTGTATCTCTGTGTCTCAAGTGAATAAATAAAACCTTAAAAAAAAAAATGAAAGTACAAATTAATGACTTTCAAAAAGAAAAGATACTTAAACTTGCATACAATGCACAGGCAGTTTTAGGTTACATTTCATTATGAAATCAATTTTGTGGATTTCTGCCTTTTAAACAAAAAAATCCAGTAAATACCAGAATGGAAGCTATGTGTTACCTTTCATTTAGCAAAGAGCATCTATGTCACTAAGAGGAGCACACGTCTAAGGGAAAATTGCTAAATATATTTTCCACACTGTCAATAGTATACCTTTAAACGAAATGCCCACCTTATTAAATTCATTCATTCTTCAGAAGGTTTTTTAAAAAATGGGCAAACATTTGCTTAAAGAAATAAAACATAGTATGTAGTTCCACAAGCCAGAATAGCCCATAAAATGAAAAGACAAAGAGGACACACAATAGCTATTTCATGGATAGCTAGGATTTATGCAACTTTTATGCAGAAAAATTGTTCCCAGAAAAAAATTGCCTTCTATTCCCAGGTCGCATAATAATCTGTCATTGAGTTGCAGAATATCATATTTTTATAGAATTTGTTTGGATGGATAGGATTTAAAGTTCAATAGAACACAGTTTTCTCATTTGATATTTTGGTGACAAAAAAATATATTCTTAGTTTGTCTAGTTTTTCAAGTGTTCCTCATTTTATATATAACTCCTATTGTTATTAAAGTTAATATTTTTTCTCTTTGAATAATCTTTTTTGGATGACATAAAAAACAAAATATTTTATGATGAGAAGACTTTCTCAGTTGTTCTTTAAACTTCATTACTGAAAAACTGTTTTTTCTAGAACTGAAAGGCAGCAATAACTTAATTATTTAATTGCTACTATAAGCAATAGAGGTTTAAACATCTGTTCTTCTATTCTTGAACTCTGCCTAAAAACAAGCCAACGTAAGATTTGCATTAAGGATGGCAAAGTCAGATAACACATAAGGACAGGAAAAAATGTTTCTAAAATTCTTTTTTCAGTCTTTTGTTGTTGAATAATATTCCACTGTTTATATTTACACCACATCTTCTTCATCCATTCATCTATGGAGGGACATTGTGCTTCCATATCTTGGCTATTGAAATAATGCTGCAGTAAACATACAGGTGCATATATCTTCTCAAATTAGTGTTTTGTTTTCTTTGGATAAAAACCCAGTAGTGGAATTACTTGATCATACAGTAATTCTATTTTTAATTTTTTTGATGAACCTCCATATTGCTTTCCACAGTGGCAGCACCAGTTTATATTCCTACCAACAGTGCACAAGGATTTCTTTACTCCCCATGCTCATAAAAACTTGTTATTTCTTGTTTTTTATTTTAGCCATTTTGATAGGGAAATGCTCATTGTGGTTTTGATTTGCATTTCCCTGATGATTAGTGATATTGAACATCTTTTCATGTGTCTGTCAGCCATCTTCTTTGGAAAAAGGTCTATTCATGTCCTCTGTGCATTTTTTAAGTTTTTATTTTATTTCAGTTAGTTAACATATAGTGATATATTAGTTTCAGGTGTACAATATAGTAATTTAACACTTCCATATAACATCCTGTGCTCATCACAAGTGCACTCCTTAAACCCCATCACCTATTTAACCCATCCCCATATCCACCTCCCCTCTGGTAACCATCATTTTGTTCTCTATAGTTAAGAATTTGTTTCTTATTGTGCCTCTCTCTCTCTCCTTTTTTTTTTTTTCCTTTGCTCATTTGTTTTGTTTCTTAAATTCCACATATGAGTGAGATCATATGGTATTTGACTTTCTCTGACTGACTTATTTCGCTTAGCATAATACTCTCTAGCTCTGTTCACATCACACAAATGGAGAGATTTCATTCTTTTTATGGCTGAGTAATATTTCCTTGTGTGTGTGTGTGTGTGTGTATACACATATATATGACATCTTCCTTGTCCATTTATCTATTGCTGGACATTTGGGCTGTTTCCATAATTTGGCTATAGCAAATAATGCTGCTATAAATATCAGGCTGCATGTATCCTTTGAAAGTTAAGGATTCCTTTTGTCTTGCTCCTTTTAAGACTTTTTTTTCCACTATATTTTGCAAATTTAATTACAATGTATCTTGGTGTTGGCCTGCTTTTGTTGATTTTGATAGGAGTTCTCTGTGCCTCCTGGATCTGGATGTCTGTTTCCTTCCCCAGATTAGGGAAGTTTTCAGCTATTATTTCCTCAAATAAATTTTCTGCCCCCTTTTCTCTCTCTTCCTCCTCTGGGACTTCTATAACATGAATATTATTATGTTTGATGGGGTCACTGAGTTCCCTAAGTCTAGTCATATGTTGCGTAATTCTTCTTTCTTTCCTTTGTTCAGCTTCATTATTTTCCATTATTTTGTTTTCTAGGTCACTAATTCATTCCTCTGTTTCTTCCAGCCTGCTATGCATTACATCAAACCTGTTTCCAAATTCATTTGTTGCATTCTTCATCTATGATTGATTATTTTTTAACTCTTTTATCTCTGTGGTAAGGGTCTCACTGATGTCTTTTATTGTTTTCTCAAGCCCAGTGCATATATTTATGATTGTTGCTTTAAATTCTCCATCAGGAGCTTTGCGCAGTGGCAGTATCGTAGCCAATGAGGTTTATCCGAGGCGTGATTATTGCTAATTGAAAACTTTTCCCAAATTCTCCATCAGGCATGTTACATATATATATTATATATATTATATATATTATATATATATATATATTATATATATATATTTCACTTAGATCTCTAGCCATGGTCTTATCTTGTTTTTTTCATTTGGGATTAATTCCTCCATCTTGGCATTTTGTCTAAGTCTCTGCCTTCTTCTCTGTGTTAGAAAAGACTGTTATGTCTCCTGCTCCTGAAAGTAATAGCCTAACGTAGGAGACGTCAAGTAGTGCCCAGGGCCTGGTGTTTCAGGGAGTGTCTCTGTTGTGTACCACATATGCTCTGCTGTCGTATTTTGTATCCTTCAGGTCAGGCATCTGCAGAGACTCCGCTCATCTGCTGTTGGGCACTGTTTGGTTCCTGGCCTGAACGTGGTGTGTTTTAACTAGGTGTGCTCTGGTCTGCTTGTGAAATGAGATCTGACACCAAATCCAAGAACTGAGATCCTGCAGAGCTCTCTGGTCTGGAGAAGCAGTGTGGGGAGGGGTTTGTGCTGGTCTTCTTGGGGAGGGCCTCACCACAATGGGACTGAGGCAAACTTGACTGAGCAGGACAGCCCGACCAGAGCACAAGTGGTGGGGCTTGGTGTAAGCAAGTTAGGCAACCAGTGTTGGTGCTGAACTGATTTCCCTCAGGTAGCTCTGTGTTTAAGCTGAGGGGCAGGGAAGGAAAAGTTTCCAGACAGCTCCTTAGTTCCTGGAGAAGCATCTCCATGAATGCTGCTTCTCAGGGACACACTCTAAGAGGAGTGAACAATCTCCCCACTATGTGCCCCAGGCATTTTTCAGATCACTGTTTTCACACTATCTGTCCCCAGGTTGTTTGCCTGACTTCTCTCTAGGAGCAGGGCACTGCCCTCAAGGCTTTATCCCAGCCAAGCTCACTGACTTTTAAAACTCCAGGCTTTAAGCCCCGCTGGTTGCAAGAACTCATGAAATTCAGCCCCTCTCAATTTTCAGGTCAATGGCTTTGGGAAAATGTTCTCCTTGTGCATTCCCCTGTGTACCCCTCTCTTTCTCTCACCCTTCTCCATGACCACAGCTCCCTCTCCTCTTGCAACACTTCAGTTTCTCCCCTAAACCACATCTGTGCACTTCCTTTCTTCCTCAGTGGCCTCTTGTCTCCCTTTCTTTGTGGAATTTCTTCTGTTCATCTTCAGGTCATCTTCTGGGGTATTTAGGATGATTTGATAGTTACCTAGTTGTGTTCATGGGATGAGATAAGCCTAAGGTTCTCCTATTCCATGGCCATCTTCCTCTCCTCTCTGTGGATTATTTGTGGGGGTTTTTTTTTTCTTTTTTCTTTTCTTTTTCTTTTTTTTTTTTTTTTTTGGTGCTGTCATATAAGTTCTTTATACATTTTGGATATTAACCCTTTATTGGATATATCATTTGCAAATTTCTTCTCCCACTCAATTGGTTGCCTTATAAAGTTTTATTGATGGTTTCCTTTGCTGTGAAAAAATTTTCCTTTTGATATAGTCCTAATAGTTTAATTTTACTTTTGTTTCTCTTGCCAGAGGAGACACAGGTAGAAAAATATTTCTATGGCCAATGTCAAAGAAATTAGTGGCTTTGTTTTCTTCTAGGAATTTTATGGTTTTAGGGCTCACATTTAGAAATTTAATCCATTTTCAGTTTATTTTTGTGTAGAGTATAAGAAAGTGGTCCAGTTTCATTCTGTTGCATGAATGAGTTTTGCATTTTGTCCAGTTTTCCTAACACCATTTGTTGAAGAGACTGTCTTTTCCCCATCATACATTCTTGCCTCCTTTGTTGTAGATTAATTGACCATGTAAGTATGGGTTTATTTCTGGACTCACTATTCTGTTCCATTGATTTGTGTGTCTATTTTTATGCCAACACCATTTTGCAGCTTTGCAATATATCTTGAAATCTGGGATTGTGATACTTCTAGTTTTGTTCTTCTTTTCCAAGATTGCTTTGCCTTTACAAACCTGTCGTTCCATGAAAATTTTAGGATTATTTGTTCTAGCTCTGTGAAAAATGTTATTGATATTTTTACTAGGATTGCATTAAATCTGTAGATTGGCTCAGGTAGTATGGATATTTTAACAATGTTGGTTTCATGAGCATGGAATATCTTTACATTTGTTTGTGTTATCTTCAGTTTCTTTCATAGGTGTTTTACACTTCTTGGAGTATAGGTCTTTTACCTCCTTTGTTAAGTTTATGCCTAGATATTTTATTCTTTTTGGTACAATTGTAAATGGAATTGCATTCTTAATTTCTTTTTCTGCTACTTCATTATTATTCTATAGAAATGCAACAGATTTCTACATATTAATTTTGTGTCCTGTGACTTTATTAAATTCATTTATCAGTTCTAGTAATTTTTTGGTGGAATCTTTATGGTTTTTTATATAGAATATCATGTCATCTGCAAATAGTGGAAGTTTTACTTCTTCCTTACCAATTTACATGCTTTTTATTTCTTTTTCTTGTCTGATTGCTATGGCTAGGACTTCTAGTACTATGTTGAATAAAAGTGGTGAGTGTAGACATTTTGTCTTATTCCAGATCTTAGAGAAAAAGCTCTGTTTTTTACCACTGAGTATGAACTTAGCTAAGATATTACTTTACACTTTTCAAAATGGCCAAAATTAAAAACACAAGAAACAACAAGTCTTGGCGAGAATGTAGAAAAAAAGAAACCCCATGCACTGTTGGTGGCAATATAAACTGGCGCTGCCATTGTGAAATACAATAAGAAGTGTCCTCAAAAACTTAAAAATAGAATTACTATATGATCCAGTAATTCCACTACTCGGTGTTTACCCAAAGAAAACAAAAACATTAATTTGAAAAGATATATGCACCTCTGTGTTTACTGCAGCATTATTTACAATAGCCAAGATACGGAAGTAGCCCAGTGTCCATCCATAGAAGAGTGGATAAAGAAGATGCTGTATATACACACGATGGGATATTTTTCAGCCATAAAAAAGAATGGAATCATGATAAAGTCCCAATAGTTCATTTTTGCCCTTGCTTCCCTTGCTTTTGGTGATGATTCTAGGAAGAAGTTGCTGTAGCTGAGGTCAAAGAGGTTGCTGCCTGTGTTCTCCTTTAGGATTTTGATGGACTCCTGTCTCACATTGAGGTCTTTCAACCATTTTGAGTCTATTTTTGTGTGTGGTATAAGGAAATGGTCCAGTTTCATTCTTCTGCATGTGGCTGTCCAATTTTCCCAACACCATTTGTTGAAGAGACTGCCTTTTTTCCATCGGACATTCTTTCCTGCTTTGTCAAAGATTAGTTGACCGTAGAGTTGAGGGTCCATTTCTGGGCTCTCTATTCTGTTCCATTGATCTATGTGTCTGTTTTTGTGCCAGTACCATACTGTCTTGATGATGACAGCTTTGTAATAGAGCTTGAAGTATGGAATCATGATGCCACCAGCTTTGCTTTTCTTTTTCAACATTCCTCTGGCTATTCGAGACCTTTTCTGGTTCTACACAAATTTTAGGATTATTTATTCCATTTCTTTAAAAAAAAGTGGATGGTATGTTGATAGGGATTGCATTAAATGTGTAGATTGCTGTAGGGAGCACTGACATCTTCACAATATTTGTTCTTCTGATCCACAACCATGGAAAATTTTTCCATTTCTTTATATCTTCCTCAATTTCTTTCATGAGTATTTTATAGTTTTCTGAGTACAGATTCTTTGCCTCTTTGGTTAGATTTATTCCTAGGTACCTTATGGTTTTGGGTGCAATTGTAAATGGGGTCAACTCCTTAACTTCTCTTTCTTCTGTCTTGTTGTTGGTGTATAGCAATGCCACGGATTTCTGTGCATTGATTTTATATCCTGCCACTTTACTGAATTCTTGTATGAGTTCTAGCAGTTTTGGAGTGGAGTCTTTTAGGTTTTCCACATAAAGTATCATATCATCTGCAAACAGTGAGAGTTTGACTTCTTCTTTGCTGATCCAGATTTATTTCTTTTTGTTGTCTGATTGCTGTGGCTAGGACTTCTAATACTATGTTGAAAGTAGTGGTGATAGTGGACATCCTTGCTGTGTTCCTGACCTTAGGGGAAAAGCTCTCAGTTTTTCCCCATTGAGAATGATATTCTCTGTGGGTTTTTCATAGATGGCTTTTATGATATTGAGGTATGTACCCTCTATCCCTATTCTCTGAAGAGTTTTGATCAAGAAAGGATGCTGTACTTTGTCAAATGCTTTTTCTGCATCTATTGAGAGGATCATATGGTTCTTGTTCTTTTATTAATGTATTGTATCACATTGATTGATTTGTGGATGTTGAACCAACCTTGCAGCCCAGGGATAAATCCCACTTGGTCATGGTAAATAATCCTTTTAATGTACTGTTGGATCCTATTGGTTAGTATTTTGGTGAGAATTTTTGCATCCATGTTCATCAGGAATATTGGTCTGTAATTCTCCTTTTTGATGGGGTCTTTGTCTGGTTTGGGGATCAAGGTAATGGTGGCCTCATAAAATGAGTTTGGAAGTTTCCCTTCCATTTCTATTTTTTGGAACAGTTTCAGAAGAATAGGTAAAAAGCTTTTGCACGCAAAAAAAACAGTCAACAAAACCAAAAGACAACTGACAGAATGGGAGAAGATATTTGCAAATGACATATCAGATAAAGGGCTAGTATCCAAAATCTATAAAGAACTTATCAAACTCAACACCCAAAGAACAAATGATCCAATCAAGAAATGGGCAGAAGACATGAGGAGACATTTTTCCAAAGAAGATATCCAAATGGCTAACAGACACATGAAAAAGTGCTCAACATCATTCGGCATCAGGGAAATCCAAATCAAAACCTCAAGGAGATACCACCTCACACCAGTCAGAATGGCTAAAATTAACAAGTCAGGAAACGACAGATGTTGGTGGGGATGCGGAGAAAGGGGAACCCTCCTACACTGTTGGTGGGAATGCAAGCTGGTGCAGCCACTCTGCAAAACAGTATGGAGGTTCCTCAAAAAGTTGAAAATAGAGCTACCATAGGACCCAGCAATTGCATTACTGGTATTTACCCCAAAGATA